AATAAGCTAGGCCAAGTATTATATTGTTTTTGGATAATTGCACAGCGCATCCACAGGTACAGGGCCTGAAAAATATACGCATGGAAGTTTTTCCGACAAATATGACCAGCATCCTTCAACCCAAGAACCAACGTGTGATTACGATTCTGAAAATCCGTTGTAGAAAACAAATTGTGGACCGGATTCTTTATCGCATCGAAAACAAAGTGCCATCTGGTTTATCGTCGGCAGTGGATGTCAGCGCCAAGGTTTCTCTACTCGATTCAATTCAGTATGTTTCAAAAGGTTAGAGACAGGTTCCTGGTGCAACAATGAAAGCTTGCCTACGGCATGCTGGCTTCATTTGACTGGCTTCCGATGCAGGATCCGATGACACCGTCATTGCTGAGGACGAGCCCAGTCATCATTGCAGAAGAGTTCGTCGCCATTGACAACGTGGTGGAATGTACCTCAGATCTGACAACTGTTGAAGAGGAAATCTTAAGTAAAATTTTAGAAGTGATTAAAACGGACAGAACGCTGCGACTCAGAGGAAGACGTACCAGATGCCTCCGTGAGTAACAGCAATCAGCGCGTGTTGCACGCAAGAGCAAAGAACTACGTGAATGATCTGTACAGCAACGGACTTTCGCATAGGCTAGGCAACCATTTCTTGTATAAATTGAACTTCCTCAGTGCAATAGTGACGGGAGTAGCAGCTCAAAATAATATCCAACTGTCGTTGGATTGTTTTCTCTGCAAAAATCTGCAGTAGCGCCAGCTTTTATTGTTATCCAGATAGGATGCTTTGTCGTAATTTTAAAATATAGGTCATGCTGTTCGGAATAAACGTCTTTTGTTTTATGTATTTTATACTTCTTAGCAAGTTGCAATTCAAGTGATATACTGTACAATAATTTAATGGTTGTTTCCCTTTTGGAAAAAAGGGCAATATCGGTTAATTGCCCACCCCGCTTTATTGTCCACTTTTGAAATATCCCGATGGTGGACAAGAAATCGGGTTCAACTGTAAAATGACGTCCTTCTCAAATCATAGAGATTTAGGACAATGCAACAAGAGACCTGTGCGCCATCTCAAAAAGGTGCGTACCACGAGGCTCTCTAAAAATAGAAGCACCATTGGGCACGGTGTATTGGCAGTAGAGGGAATTACTTTGAGAGGGAAAGTGGCTAAAATGTTGTGCAAGGAACAAGAACTATGTTATAGCAATAAATCTGTTTCTTTTTGAATACTCCTTTAAATAACTTTGGCTTCAATTGTAAGATTTTAAAATTCCTACCTGACTCTGTCTGGCACACCGTTAGCTTGCTATACTTATGCACTGTGAGCAATATCTGTAGCGGTTGTAACGATCTGTATAAAATAGTTTTTCTCTGAGGGTGGGCATCTTACCCTAGATTTTGGGTAAAACGCCTATCCATGTGGGTAAGATGCTTACTGGTCGACATCTTACCCACCCCGTCCCTAACTACTTAAGAATGCACACACAGAAATGTAGAAAACTATTGAAGATAGGGCTATAGCATATTGTAATACAGACATAGCATAGACACAAGGGAACAGCCGGATCGTAACATAACCATACAAAGTAAAGTGAGTTTAAAACTGGAAGACAAGAAATTTGTAGATCGGGAATGCTCAGATGCGTTAAATAAAACCAAAGATTAAATAATCATCTTCGGATTCAAAAGTGTGATACACATAGACTTTAGAAATTATTAGAGTGCAATCCTCGTGGGCAGACATTTGACACATAGCGCTGGAGACCCACTTTTCACCAGGTCGACTGCGAACAAATCCCTCCTCGCAAAGCAAGTGGAGCCATTCATTAGACTCGTACGATGAAGATGACGGTTTGGACTTCTTCACTTTACTGGCCTTCTTATTGCCTCATTTCGGCTGTTGCTGCTGCGGCTGCTTTTTGTTGTAGTGAAATTAAAAGTGATGCCGCTGTTAATACTTCGGCATTTTCACTTTTGCGACATCCTTTCTGATAGCTTTGGAGGACTGCTTTCGGAGTGGTACACAACTCTGCAATGACATGAAGTTCAGTCAAAACTGTTCGCGTAGTATTACCAGAAGACTTGAGGTTTTGTACGTTAACTGATGTTGAAAGAGCATACCAAGTGTAATCAGATGAGATCATGGCTGATGAAGGCATGTGATCATGATCTAGAGATACTGAGGTTGAAATAATAATGCTACATTTAGCAGAGGCATCTGCTGAAGCACAGTTCACTTGAGGTGTAGTTGAAGGTAAGGGGACAAGCATGACTTGATCGGCACCAAATATCCTGTGGCTTTTTGAACTGGGTAGCAGCAAAATCATTCTCATTAAAAACAAAATGATTAAACAGCCAAAACCCTCAGGGATCAAAGCTGTTCACCACAGTAGCAACGGTTGCTGATTTCTTGAAAGCTAGTCCCACTATGGAGGCCAGCTCAAGAAAAAGAAATTCGTTGACGAGGACAATGCAGCATTCAATGATCGGCAGATATTGAATACCGACTTCAAGGACTTTTAAACCATGCAATCGCAAGGCTAGAGGCGATGTGTACAATCTAGTGACATTGTCAGCATGGTAACATGGCTAGTAGACGCCAATACCACAGCAGTAAGCCTTATGACTTTGGTGGCCCTCGAGTATTAACAAAACAGGTTCTGCAATCGAAGGTTTAACTTTAGCAATGAAACGTTTGAAGCATTTTGCTGAATTGCTCAGCATCGGAGCATTCATTATACGAGCAAGAGCCAATCGATTCGGCAGTCGCTCCTTTCAGCATATTGGGATCCCACGGTTACCACTGGAATAAGAACACTGGTGGGATGTATGTCCCAATCGCAATAAAAGTAAAAAGGAAGGTCACATTTTTCCCTTTCAGAACATGTCATATTTGCTATGGTGTGTTTTCCTTCCTGAGCCAAAATTTTTGTTGGCTTAACATGCGAAAAACCGGTCTCATCCATATTCCATATCTTACTTCCTGTAAATGTGTGAGATCTCAACACAGAATGCAAACATTCGTAAAATCTGTCCATTATTACCTTGTCGAATCCAATTACAGGAGAAAGGCTGACTGCTTCAGGAATGCTAAGTGAAATAGAAGCATTTCGTATTAGAATTCCCCCCAGTCGACTTTGGCCTACAAAGTTAGTATCATTGTTGAATCAATGAAATAGTTTCATCTTTTTCTAGGAGATCATTTGCCAGATGTCGAATTTCTATGGTCGTCAAAATAAACAGCGATGCTTCCATGGTTATTATCTTGTGACTTAGTGCATTTCCCAACTTCGACTGAAGTTCACTTCTAAAGCGACCTAGAAACATATACCCAGAAATACATACCCAGCTGCAAAGACCTGAAAAACGGAAAATAACGGCGGAAAATGCAAATGCTTCATTGTATCACTGTCGCCTCAAATTTCGTCGGTCATTATTGGAATTCTTAGCAATCTTTTTCACGAAAATGCAATTTATCAAGTCCCCAATTGCTAACTATATGTGTTGTACCCCATATTCTCCTCTCTTACTCTTGCTTGCATATACTTGGGTATTCTGGGATGGCTGTAATAAAAAATAGTGCCATTAAGCAGTAAAAGCATAAAATGAAATAAAGCAATACAGAATAATTAATTTTATTAGCTGCTTCGCGCTATTAAAACATGACAGAGATCATCGTTCAATGTAAATGTGTAAATACAATAACAAATTACTTGTCATACCCCTTCAGATTCGTATACGGTTACATGATATGCCGAAAATTAGGTGAAAAAAACTTAAAATATGTCGATGGGTGAAGTTACCAGTAAGAAGAGCATTCGGTAGCTGATTTTTATGTATGAAACAAAGGAAGTGAATACGAAACTGTCAATGCTACCGTCTGGAACGGAATACGGATCGCATTAGAAAACTATATATGTGGGTTTCTTCCCCTCAGTTGGGGTATTACCCCGCTCTACCCTATCGCGTGTCCACTAGACCTACCGGAGTCAGGAAATCTGAAAGGTCCAGGTGCTTCATCATCACCATCGGGCGGCACCTCAACGGTTTTTAGTAAGAAGAATTATTTTAAGCACCTGAACAGCCTTCACAAAGGACTACGAAGAGTTCTCCATGTTCTCAATGGGATAAAACCAGCGGGGAACGGTGATTGAATCGGCGTATACACTGTAGTAGCAGCTCTTCCACTGTTTCTTGCTCGTTAGTCATGTACTTAGACATCACTATGCCTCCCTCATATCTCCTGGGAAGTTAAGTATATACGCACGCAGCTGTTCCATGTTAGATGGGTGCTCCTGATTATTGACCTCATGTTCAACTGTCTAAACCTACTGGTGGAACTTGGCTAATAAGCTAACGCGAGTCCTCCTCATGTCGAAGCATAAGCAAACTTTAACTGGCTATTTCATGGATCTTGTACTTCTTCGGAAAGGTCCGTCAGTCCTAGTGCAAAATGACACCAGGCGAAAGAGATGGTGTGCACGTGTATTCTCATTCGGAAGCAGATGCGATGCCGGCAGCGCTTTTCGTGGCGGGAGGATACCAATAAATGTCCTTCATCAAATTCGCAACAGCCCCGCGTGAGGATGGTAACGACATTTTCCCGACTAGTCTACCCCGCTATTGCACGGCTTCTGCTGAAGCATTGGAATCGAATGTGAGCAACCAGTTGTCGAATACAACTTGCAGGCCACTTTCATCATTCCAGAAAATTGTAGCCCAATACTATCTATAGCAATGCACTCGCAAAGAGGCACCAAGGTAGCTAAATTCACTCGCTTCTGTTCCCTGAGCTATAGCCGTTTATCTGAAACCGTTACCTTACACAGCTCAAAGGCGTAGAGTTGTTTATTCAGGTATCCATCCAGCGATGTACTATTAAAAGTCACATGAAACACTTCTGATCTATTGCAAACAACACCATTACATTAGGCCTAGCACACCATAATGCTGAAAAGCATACAAAAATAAAGTACATCGGAAAATGTGGTGAAAACAACATCTGGTGGATTAAAACTGCAGGCACAAGTGCTCATGTACACAATGGTTCGCACAAATATCTCAGGGTATAATCAGTCTAAATAAGGTCGCCATATCTCTGATTTGGATTCGCAATCGGTTGCGAGTTGCGGAGTGAGGAAACATCTGTTATTGTTTGTGAATCGCATACATATTCCAGAGTCTATTTCACTCTGACTGGAAGTGGCCTCAAAAATGGCATTCCGAGCAGATGATATGGGAGTGGAAGTCAATTGGCTTGTTGGAGAGAACAATGGGAACGAAGTGCAGCAATAGGTCTTCGGTAATGAGCCGGAGTGTTCTGTGTTCAATGAAGGAATCGGTTTCTGATGAAGATTATCACGCGAATCGGTTGAGGGCTGGTGCGTTAAATTTTCCGCAACGATCTCCGTGTTACTGTTTATTAAATGCAATGCGGATGGGATGGGTGTGAACGCACTGTGTGGTGCGGGTGTGATCTGGACACGCTGTACCGCGAATTGATTTTCTTTATCCTCTGAATGCGGAGAAGTGAGGCAGCACGTTGTGTTCAGCTCAGAAGCCCTGTCACCAGCGCAGATCTTAGATATGCCAACGCTTCGCTGTAACTCGGATTTGAGTTCTGAAAGCAAAAAAAATTCGTTAGTGTGGTAAGTTATAATCATGTGAGATGGTTAGGTGAAACATTATATACAATTTGTCTCATATAATCCATGTATGCGCTAGCTTAGATGAAGTTACAATGAATGGCGTATGACGTATTCTAACACAAATTTATCACAGTAATGTTGACGGTGATGTTTAAAATCGGTCCGGATTACTCATCGACGTAAGTGCAGTAGGTCCATTAATATATATTTTGCAGTATAGTGTAGCTCTTCTAACCCCGACAAGTGCGCTCTGCTTACAACGGACTACCAAATTCAGCTGACGAATAAGAATATGTAATGCAATATCAACCACCATCAAATCACAGATAAAGCAAAGACATCTATGGAGCGAGGATTCCTCCGTTTGCGGAATATGTTCATGAAACTTACGTACGGATGCAGCAGATGCGACTGTGGTAGAAGATATGAGAATTGGAGGAAAGGATAACGAATCCTACGGTTGGTAACTTCTAACTACTTCTGGGCCGTATAGACGAAGGATGGAAGCTTTCTATGTACGCATCGAATGAATTGAGTATTTTTCACGGCGATCTCGGATCCGGTAGGCGTAATATGTGTGTCATAGTTGTCGGTAGGTTGACACATCCAATTCGGACGATTGGCACCAATTTATCTTTTGTCTACTTTCTTGCTTAGTAGCTGTCATATCCGTTAGTCCATCTTTTCCTTGCAGACGAGCACGATATTTTGCGGTATTACACCACCATCCTCTTGTTGGACTGTGAAGCGAGAACACCTTATTTTGGAGGACCGTCAATTGCTAAAAGTAAGCACTTACAACCCACGGTTTTTAGTCGATGTTCGCGTATTCACCGCATCCATCACCAACTACCCAGTTCCACTTGGGTCACGCAGCTGACTAGACGAAATGGGAGACAGGCCAGAAATTTCAGACCAACCTCTTTAGCGTTATTCACTTCGAAGAGCCAGTTAGAATATTATTGTTCACGCTGTTTGGCCTCATATACAAAATGACTACGTATCTCAGTTCATGCGTTTGCCAGCTTTTGTTGGGAAAGACGAAGCGAGTGAGAGATTTGATAACTTCCTGAATGCATCCTAAGGTACATTCTAAGCATTCGCATTCGCACCGTGAATAAACCCATTGTTTCATTGCTCTGCTAAGTTCTCGAAGCTTTGGGGGGAAACGCTTTGTCAACTGGTATGTTTTACCCATAATTTTCGAGTTTTTGCGACACATTAGATTATGGGCTAAATCAAATGTACTAATATTTTGGAGAAGCTTGTGAACAACCTTTCGGCGTTCACGAGCTCTTCTGAAATGATGAATTCCCGATTGGTTCCGACCATGTTCCAAGATGCAGAATGCAGCAACGTGCAGTTACCGACATATACGACCTGGATTTCTACTAACTTGTTCGGTAAATATTGTACGCATTGCAAATTATGGATCTGTTGCTCACCGGGATGTCGATTAATCAGTGACGCTGCACAGTCAAACACTGTGTAGCACATATCTAGAATGTTTACCACTTCTTGTCGACGATGCGTTTGATGCTGTGGAGAAAGAGGAAGAATGATGAGCGTTGTCTCCATATGCCCCAGTCAGGAGGAAAAATTGACCGCATTACGAAATCATATGCATGAATAGGCAAAACGCACCTCCATTCCAGCCATCTCTACTGCCAGTTGATGTAATTGAGCTACCCTGTTTGCAATAGTCGATCGTCTCTGTCGTTCTAAGTTCCTCTTTCTCAGCTGAAACGGTGGAGTTGGGAAGAGACAACACACCCTGTGTAGTGTCGTAAATGTTACGTGAACAAGGAAAACTACGTTGTATTATTGACATTTGCTTTACCACAGTGTTGTACTGGATATCATAGCTAGCAGCTGACAATCAGCAGTAGTAAAGCGCATTGGTCAATAGGAGATTATGTGAACAATATAGAACATTATGCATTCTGGTCATTAGATCTATGAGACAACTGCATGATAAGTGATAATACCGAAAATACTAAACCACCCTGGCGCGACATGTTATCGAAATTTGCGGTATCAAAATGCGGATGCAGGGCTCCGATAACGCTTATGTGACGACAAAGCATCGATGAGTATAAGGGAACCGTTACTTCCCTACAGTGACCATGCAGTGATAGCAAATGCTCGTTAACTTGACAGGCTTATTTAAACACTAAGTAAGAAATGGTAATCTGCACATTTGGTTAAAACTGGCCAAACCACCATCTGAGACCTCAGGTAACTCCTAATCGTCATTTTATACGCCAAATATCACATGTACAAACAACATTTGATCTATGGTTATCGGTAGAATAAAACCAGATCGCATGAACCGCCTAAACACTCGGTTTCATTAGTTCATCAGCAAGATAGTATCGTTTCCATGTCAGTAATGGGTCATACCCAACTTACTTTTAGTTCCTCTTCTCTCTGAACCGGATGATCCATGTTATTCCCCTTGCAATGCATGGTACTCGGAGATGGAAACTGTAGTAATGCAGAACTACCCAAACAGCATTCGAGGTTGGCTTTAAGTTGGCCAACTGCTCATGGACACCGCAGTGACTCAAGCCGCAACACGTGATTGGCCCGTGAGCCCCTTGAGGCGCGAGGTGAGCCTATCAGCTGGTCGGTTGGGAGCGCCCTCGGTTGGTGCGCATACCCGTCTCCCAGCTGGTTGATTCGGACAAGGCCAGGGGTCACGGGGGGGAGGGATCTGCTATCCACAGACAAGTAAGCTACTGCTGATGAGGTCAACTGTTACTTTTGGATATGGTCGAATTACATAATCCCTTTACTATCAAGCCAACGTTTATGTTTCACTCAGTGGCGAAAAAGTCACGAAACGATTCATTCCCGTACCAAACATTTGACAAAGTTGTAGGATTTCGAAATCCCGCAACGTGTTGTGACCGCATGCTAGCCTACACCCATGCATACACAATGAACATAATTCTCCTTCAGCAGTTAGCAAGAAAGTTAACCAGATTTCTGTCAAGCTCCGAGGCTGAAAAGTTGTAAAAGACATCCAGGTTAGAACGTTATTGCATATACTACAAAGTTTTTAGAGTAACTAACGGGTTCGTTTGCATTTGTTTTATATCTGTGCGGATTATTCTAAGCAGATTCGCCACAATGCTTTAGGCACAGTGATAACATGAGTACAAATAGCGTTGGCTATATTGAAAAGGACTGCGAAGGAACAACGAAACTGGACACCGTAGCGATACGCTGTTGATAATGTGGCATAGGAACAAGGTAATCTTCTAAATTTTATCTTAGTGCCCGGAACGTTACTCAACCGCTGCTTCAGAAACAGCTATGGAACTCCCTACCTGGTTTGTTAGTTGTCGAGTTTCACAAGATAAAATGCTTTTGCTCCCACCAACTTTTAATAACAAAAATATTTTATAGATAGCCGTTGCAGGAATCTACGAACAACTTTGATTTGGGGAGTTATGGAGTAATTGATGAGTCTTCGTAATCGATCCGATAGCCTCCGACGCATCCAAGGAAGCACTGGGTGGCCGTTTCGCCCATTGAGGCTCATCTGTATTTCACGCCCCCAGCCGTATCAGGAACGGAGACCATGATCCATCGACACCGACCGCCTATATCACTGGAGCGGCCGGGGATCCCCTCTACTGAAGAAGTAGGTTACCGCGGAACGGCCGTCTGGAGTGTCGCCGAATGCGTGAGCTGGAGCCCAACTTTGAGCTACTGCTTAGAAATATTAGGGTGTATTTTGCTTGCCGAATTGTTGGTTTACTGGTTGATTAGATATGGACTCAAAAGAATCGCATTAGTCAATACTAAATAACATTCTACCATTTTAACAGTAAATGCCTTAGTTGAGCACGAAAACCTACCCAACTTTTTGAAGTTTAAGTGCTTCAAAAGTAAATTTAAGTGTGGTAGCTTTTCTTTGGACGACATCTGAATGTCCACTCGGAAGCGAACCATTACTGCAAATTCCTCCGCCTTGACTCATCAAAATTATTAATATGCCTTTGTCCACTTCGCGAGTGATATGCTCACACCGAGGGTTCAAGATCGGCAAGAGCTGAGTAGCGTGAGTATGATGAGAGAACATGAGTGAGCTGTGTGGATGCCCATAGTTGAACAGCTCTGTGGTGGGGTTATTCAACATCGCTCTTTAAATCGTCACATTGATCGAACCAGCCTCGTTATGTGACAATAAACATGCAGTTCAAATGTGGATTGTAGTTGTGCTTTACTCAGACAGCTTAAACTCGTAACTGAAATGGGAGGACTCAAATGCAATGCCCACCTCTGATCACTCAGCCAGGTAGCTTGCCAACAGCCACTGGAGGCCATTTCTTAGTTTTCTTTTCAGCTTACAAACTCTATCGGAGTAATCTATCAAAGCAGTCAATCATTAATTATGGCGCATGAAGTAATTTATAATGCAAACATACAAACCGACGAAGTAAGCCCGTTACAAGGTTCAAGTTAACAACCAGCATCAAAATATCTGTGCTCCAGCGTTTCTGCTTAAATCGCTCAAGCGATGGAGCCTAACAGGTTGTTTAACTTAGTACACTGACTTGCTTAGAACGGATTCCGTGACTTATTGACAGTACAAACAGCTTCCTCGCTGTTGCACAATATTAAAACTCAGTTGGGATGCCTATTAATACAAACTGTCTCTGACAGCCAGTGTCTCGCACCAGCCAGCGGAGTTTTGAGGCAAAGAGGCTTAAGTTCGTGCCATTCGGATGCAGTTTGTATTGGCTACTTGACCAAAGGCGCTAAAATTTAGCTTCATACATTTGCGAGGGTAAGCTGGCGCATATGTTACAGTGATTACCTCTAACGGTAGTTAATGTGGACCTTGCTATTCTAAGCAAATCACGTGCCATAGTTTGTCAGAGTAAGCTGAAGCAATACAATGGATAGGTACTACATTCCGTCTTGAAACGAGTGAAGATGGGAGAGTTCACGCCGTTGCAGTGGAAACCGAACTGCCGTTCACCGACAAAGCCCGCCCACATCGCCACTGCAAATGCAAACTTTGAAATTAGCCCAAATTTTGAACAAATGTTTGACCTAAGTTAGTATGAATTGCCAATCAACGACTGAGGGAACACGGTTACAGCAACGATACAGCCAACTACATACCCGATCAATATATCAATGGTACACCCTAATGAGCACGTATCAACCGACACCCTTGGTCAATACAAAAGGAGACTTAAGTGGTCAAAGTTACCCGTTGTTTGTGCATTGTGAGGTGCTGTACTCTCGGATGCAGCATTGTAATTAGCACCAACAATAGTAACAACGAGATGATCCAACACTCAGAATTACGGGTCTACTAGCAGGGAACTACATGAGCCTTCTCAGCTGGGTCCAGCTGAATCACGTCGCATGTGAAGAAAATATCATTGTGTTGGGAACACCGGTGCTTGCTTATCATGCAACACGAATTGGTGCATTCATCATGCATTCATCATGATGAGCACAAACAAGTTGTCGCAACCAGGTTACGCAATTGAACCTGTCTGACGGAGTAACTGCGTCGCGAACAGTTGCCTCCATGGGGACTTATTGTGAAATAATTTGAAACCTGGGCTAGCGGTTCACATGTGCTAGTAAGTGCCTTTCATGCGAATCCCCATGCATTGAAACCATGCGATGCTCCAATTTGAGACTGGTCCTGGAAAACGTGAGGCAACACGTGTGGTCGTTTAACCATACATTATAGTTGGTATATTGCTACTAACTCCGGACACGTTATGACTCTTGTCTATTTCAGCTTTAGTAATTGAATACTACATCCCACTACTTGCATTGCTTCAGTCACAACGTAGTTCGCACGTTAGCTGAAAATTAAGGAGCTGGAATTCGTCAGTCCTACAACTCTGACAGAAGAGTAACCTGAAACGGTATCACCATGTAGTAGAAATAGTCCTGTCTATAAATGGCATCCATAAGTCATTAGATTACATTTCGATGTAGAGAAGTGCATCAGCCACTTTGCCGTCAAGCCCTCTATGGCTAGTAGATCGTATTTCATATCGGCTACTTCAACTTCATATTTGGATGAATGGAACGTTTACACTACTTTCAACGCATTTGCAAATAAGCATGAGTTACTGAAGCGTATGACAAGTATATGATCGTTTAAGCCCAGTAACAAAAATAGAGGACCTATAAGGTTGCCTTTAACTACGTCAATAGTAACTTGTCTGGACGTAGACATGAACCCATTTATGTTGACGGTCTGCGAGCGTCCTGTCGAATAAATCAAAGCAGGAAAGTAGCGTTTTAAATCTAACAAATATACTCAGTTTCACTGATAGCCTTTGTGGAGAGGTTTCTACATCTCAAGATGGAGAAGAATGCAATGAAGTGCGGAATCAATCGCTCCGGTGCGATTGTGTAAGCAATCCATTTGGCAAGTACTGCAAAAGCGAGACTTTAAAAAGCTATGTTGCGAAGGTGAAAAAAGACTGTGGGACAGGAGGAAAGCTGTAAATTTTTTCCTTTACAATTCTATCCATCAATTGTGATAGAATGAAAGGGCGACTAGTAGCGCAATAATTACGTAGATCTGTTTTATGCGCGCCTTTAAATCATGGTATAACCAGGTTTATGCCATTTCCCATGATACTGGTCTGATTGCATTGAAATAT